TATTTACAGGTCCACAGGTGGCATTCAGCAGATTCTGACCAATTCAGGAGAACCGGTAGTGGAAATTTTGAGTAGTTTGGAGAACTGGTAAATACCACCTCTGGCTGGCCACCCCATCTATTCTCTGCCTCCCGAGTCCCAGCTGATCAAAAGGGAATGGAGATTTTGCAGTAACCTTTCCTTGCCATGCCCACCAAGCCATGCCCACCAAGCCATGCCACACCCAACGAGCCATGCCCAGAGAACCAGTAGTAAAAAAAATTGAATCCCACCACTGTACAAGTTCGACAATTTTCATCCCCAAGAAAAACAATCATTCTCATCATTATACCACATAATGGTATAATGCTATAATTAGCATTTGCTTGGCTATCAATAACTTTGTCATGACAGTTATCTGCTTTAATTTTGTTTTCTCTGTGACATTGTCTCAGGAACCAAACCTGCCTGGATTTATATTTAAACAGAATTGGACCTGATTAGTACTGGATGGGAGATCATCAGGAAATTCCATGGCTATAAATTAGAGTAGTTAGTTAAGTCTCCCAAGAAAAGAAAATGGCAAAATTATATTGGTAATGTAGCTAAGAAGACTATACACACATGTCTTGACAAGAGTTACTGGGCTCCCATAGAGATTGAAAATGGAAACAAATTATTAAATCCCAGGGAATGGTAAACATATACCATGGTGAGTTTCTGAGCAAGTGGGAATGGGTGTCCAAAATCTATACAAGATCAGATGTCACCCGCTTCATGCTACTGCAGTGCAAAAATCTCAGAAAAAGGAACTTCAATTTCCTCTTACTTCTAGTTGACATAATTGTCAGTGGTGATAGAAGTCTGTTTTCATTTTGTGTATTCCAGGCTCCTCATTCAGGTAAATCCACCAAATAAGGCTGGAATCCGCCAGCCACTAACTGTATTCCCTGGCAAGAGTCAGACAATGATGTTTTTGCCTTATGTATTACACAGACATTATCTGAGAATAAATTTACTTGCAATTCAATGTTGGAGTCTACNTTTCTTGTGTGCTGATGGGTTATAATTTTTGTTGTTGCCTAGTGGAATGACTGTTCATTTTAAAATGCTATCTTTGGGATCGTAGTTGATGCAGTTCTTTTGTTCTCAGCGATTGGCAGACTGGATCGATGTCAATATGTCTGTTTATTGACTTATTCAAATACATTCAAACATTCAAATGCATTCAAATACATTTCAACCACAGTAATATTCTTACAAGTCATTATATTATGAGCCAAAATAATCGATCTGGTTAGGGATATTGTGCAGTTGGGAGAGGCATCACCGGCTACTTAGCTTTAAGCAATAAGTTAAAAGGAGGTTTAATGCTTGCGGACCTTTGCCCCCAGACCCCACCTTCATGCATTTTAATTGACAGGAAATCTTTTTCTTCTGCCACAAATGTAAATATCACAGAAAACACAAAAGGAGATGAGAAATGGATGATGAAACATCCTTGGTCAAAGAAATGGCTTTGGGGTTACTCATTCGCTTCTGGAAAGCAGACAAAGAACACTGCTGATATTCTGTGAGTAAGGACAAGGCCTGCTTTCTCTTTTCTCATTTTAGTGATGATATTGGAAGGAAAGATCACTTGAGATACATTGGGTTAGTGCATAAGGAACTGGAAAGTATTCCGTTCCAATTTAAGTAGTGCGAAAGATTCTCTCACATACAAATATATATTTGTGCTGTCCATGCAATCTCTCCCGTGTTCACAGACAACACAGATCCTTCGGGTCTCAGAAGCCATGCTTCATTTCTTCTAATAACAGAGATAATTCCAGAAGCAACCTCAAGTTATGCATTTGATCTTCTGTGGAAGTACAACCAAACACTGCAGAGCAGAAAACTCAACAGCCTTTCTGTCTCTGGACTGAGTGGTTAATCCCTGGTCTAGTTACTGTAGGCAAGCCCTGAAGCAGCAGTTTCACTACCCCACCCAAAACTGATTGGTGCCGCGTGGTAACAGCAGAGTGATGACATTTCACTCTAAATTTCCAAATGATCTTATTCAGCAGTTGCATGTAGGTTTTGAACAATATGGCGCATAAAACAGAAATTTATGGAGTCTTATAATCCAACAAGATAACTAAGGCAATTTCAGTTCCAAAGCCAACTCTAAACTGCAACTGAATGAACTTAGAAAAACTCTTTCATCCAAAAAGTACTGGTTCAGTCATCTACCCAAGTCGATGCTAGTCTCTGGCCTGTAATGATTTAGTTCTGCTAAGTCTAATAGTCATCCCCATTATAAGAGTATGAACAATTTATACTCCATGATCTAATCTCTAACCCTCTTCTTCCTATGAAAATGAAATCTATCATGAAGGACAAGCAAACATAGCATTGGCTGAAGTCACCCAAGTATCTCATCTACATCATTGAGCCTTAAGACCTGAAGCTCATTCAAAGCAACCTGACCCTGCAGAGCCTTGTATACTTCTACAGACTGAAGTGCTGGAACTGTACAGTCTTAAGTTATGACAAATTTGATCGATTTGGCTTCCAACGGAATAGCTGAAAGGGTTCTACATTCAAATCTGCAACCCCCAAAGCTCTGAACATCTTGGAAAAGCTCCTGAGGGTAACACTGAGGGGATACAATGGTGATG